TTTTTTCAAATGATGAAGCTTCGTTGTTGCCTTTAGTTTCATCACTTTCGCTTTTGGTTAAAATAAACTCAGAATATGCCGTTAATATGATCTCAAATACCGTATAACTAGTTAAATAACAAGTTCCTAAGAAACAATTTTAATTCTTATTAAAATAACTAAAAACATTACAAAACTATAGTTTTTATTAAAATAACAAGAAAAAATTTATTGCTAGATATTTTCCAGATTTGGTAGATTTTTTTCAAGTGTATAGTAAGTATTTTTTTGTCGTCAGTGGCAACCCTGCCTGCAAGTTATAATACATATTTTGTGTTAATTTTCTGTTTTTTTTTTCTCGTCTTCTTAGCGCATCTATCAATGACGAGTTTTCTTTTCTTTTTTTTTTGTTAGGAAAAGGGGTTCGGCCACACTCATTTGCCTCTTCGATGTAGTAAAATAATGGCTTTTAAATGAGTTTTCTTTGTTCAATCTTTTGGCTTTTGTCATGTTAATTGGCATAAGTTGTTGCTCTGCTTTTATTTTGAGAAACATAAATGGCGATTAGGATAATGCATACTTTATCTTACATAGCAGGTGTTTCGTTTGGAGAACTACTATACTACACTCTATTCAGTACGAAGCTACGGTGCGTGCCCAGCACTAGATAAACAATAAATTAAGCAATATACAAAGAGCAGCTGGAGCAGATGCTACAAGAGCAATTAAGTTGTGTCCTTCCGATGCGCTTAATGTGATCCTGCATAAGCTGCTATCGTCAGGTCGGTTCCCTTAGTTCCCAAACCCTCGCCCACATTTTTCGTAATAAGTGATTTCTTATAGAGCCTTTCCACCGAACAATTAAATAAAGACTAACATTTTGTTAAATTTTAAAATGTTATCGTTTTCACTGTCTGTAGTGCAAGGCGATATTAAAGTTCGTTTTTATACCAGAGCGTACTTATAGGCTTCCCTTTACCCAAGATAGGTCGGTATTGAAAATGGGCGAAATCGGACCGTAACCACGCCCACTTCCCATATAATGGTATTTTCGAAAAATGCATGAACTAGTATGTGACGTAGAATTTTCTTAAAAAACAATATTGTTGTGAAAGTTTTGGAAAATTGGCGTAACCCCGCCCACTTATGATGAAATGCTGTATTTCAGTAGCCGCTCCACTAACTGCCACCAAACTAGGTGCGAACATTGCTTAGAGTCTCACAAAAAAATTGTAAACTTCTGAAGCTTCTTCACTCAAGATCACAATGTTTACAATAATCTTATACAGCCAATTTCACGAAAGCAATTTAACCGGCCGTCTTCATGTGCTGGAAAATCTCGTTTGCGTGACAGCCAGCAGCCAGTGAAATTGCATCTCTATCAGCTGTTTATTTAAATATTTTTCGTTTACAATAGGCTTTTTGTGAAGGACTGCCAAACAAATGGCATCAAACTGCATCCGTGATGGAATCAAATTCGAATCGAAATTCTTTTTGAGATGATCTCAATGAGATTACGGCATTTGATAACGAGCTCGCCTTCTCAATTTAAAGTGTATGTGGGAGAAAAAAACGGTAATTTTATTTCATTCGATTCGAATCGAGTACATATGTACATATGTATGTGTAAAAATAAATGCACATACATATATCACATGTATGTACATTACATAAAACACTTTTTTATATGGTGCGAGGCTAGAAATATTTAGGAACATAAAATTTCATTTCGTTTTGTACTAAAATACACTCGTTTGCACTCAATGCATAAGAATTTATATGCTAGGTATGCATGTACATACATACAGTGGTCCACAAAATAAAAGAATTGCGATATTTTGACCGGTTTTGGCTTTGGGCATTTGTCTTTTGTTTATTTAATGTTTATTATTTTTTTTTTTATAAAAGTCTAGCTGGTATACAACAAACACCGTACAAATTCAGATTTCAAACTTTGTACAAAAATTAGAAAAAATCTGCTTATTTTCACCAAAATTTCAAACTTTTTAATCAAAATTTTGGTATGCAGTTTTGTATACCATTTAATTCTGGTATAATAAAGGGCGAGTTTCAAGCTGCTATAAAATCCTGTTAATTTTTGTAATTTTTTTTTTTTTGCTGGCACACATATTAAAGAAATTTGTCGAACATACTTTTGTATGGAAAAAACGTGAAAACCCTTCAACCAAAGAAAAAAAACAAAAAACAAAATAATTTTTTCCGAGCTGTCTGCAAATCTTTTTTGGNATATTAAAGAAATTTGTCGAACATACTTTTGTATGGAAAAAACGTGAAAAACCTTCAACCAAAGAAAAAAAACAAAAAACAAAATAATTTTTTCCGAGCTGTCTGCAAATCTTTTTTGGTGTTGGCTGTTGTCTGTCGCTTCACCTGAACATATGAAAAGAAATTCCAAAGAATCGGCAAAAAAAGGCCGATGCCGATGCCGATGCTCAATTTTGTGCCGATACTAGCCGATGCCGACTAATCGATTGCACGCTATTTAATCCTCCACTTTACTTTCCAAATTTGGAAAGTTTTTTCAGGGCTCCAATATTTTTTAGATTTTTCAGATTTTTTAGGCTCATTAAAGTATTTTTTATGGACTTTTTATAATAACTCGAGACACTTCTGTAGAATCACAAAGCTCAAAATTTTTTTCAAATTTTTTAATAAATAAAATAAAAAATAAATAAAAGTGCAGGCTTAAGCACAAATGCAAAAAAATGGCACAGAACCTGTTATTTTTTAAATCTTTCTTCTGTTAAAGTTTGATTTTTTTTTTTTAATTTTTTATTTAAAAAATAAAAAACCTGGAACGATTAATTAATTTGTCAGAAACTATCAGTCGGAAAGTGATGTATTTATGGAGAATTTTATTAGCTTTGATTTGGCTCATCTCATAGAAATTGAATAGTGGCATCCATTGAACATTTTTGCTGTAAACGAGTGTAATTGCCCAGTAAAGAGATTAATTTTATTGTATCACTCATACGCCCTGCTGTACCACCAAAAACATATTATTGATCGCTGGCAAGTGCGAGGGCGAAAATGCTTCGCGACAACGCACTGTGGTCCAATTTGCTCTAGTAGGGTAATTTAATTATTATATTAAGAACTAAGATAGATATCTGGATGAAATTTTGTACAAATTACGTTTGAATGACTAACAACTTCAGGTCATAAAATGGGCAAGATCGAATAGCGACCACACCTACCAACCATATAATTAAAAAATCTTAAAATTTTTCATCAATTTCTGGTATTTTTTTAAGCACTTGCGCATGGCATAAACTTAAAGATTATAATGCAAATTCATATTTGTTAGAAATTAATTAAATTATATTCAATTAAATATGATAATATGAGGTACACTGACGGTCAAAAGTGAGTGTATGGTGATTTTTGTTAAATATTTGCAATATTTTTCAAGTTAAAAGTTTTAGTTATGACAAATCCCAGTGAACTCGATGACGAAGTCTGATGAGGAGATGAGATGTGGTGATCTTCGAAATATCAGCTATAACTTTTACCAGTTGTTAATTATTGTTGTTTTCCAACACATTTTTTCATTGGAAAAAAATTGTTGAATATAATTGTGAGCTTTTTAATCTGAGCTTTTAGAAAAATTATCGGTTATAAAATTTAAGTAAAATAGCTCAAAGTTTTAAGCGCTTAAAAATCGCGTTGATTTTTAATTAGTGTTTTTTTTTTTTTGGTTACGGCTTTTGCGGTTTTCTCATATAAAAAGTGCAATTTATAAAAACCAGTGTTAATTTTTAAGTGATAGTTCAGTGACCAAAAAAGTGCATAACTTTCGAAAGCTCAAAAGCTCCCCTTATTTTAACTTTTTGGCAGCAACCCTCAAAATTTTTAGTTGGCCTACCAGCTGAAAATGGCGGCTTACCAAGCTTAGACCCAATTTCAGATGGCCTATTTAAGAATTAATAGACCGTTGATTATCTTCAGCAATTCATTTTCAGATCATACATTTAAGCTGCACTTAAATATTGGCTATTAAAATATGATATATGCAACCCTGTGTTTATATCAAACAACAAAGATTGATAGATAGGTTGTTTTGGCAATTTCTGATTTAGGCTTCGCGCATATGAATTCAATTTATCAAAGTAATTCTATTATTAGATCTGGAACTGATATTACCAGAAAGAGAATCTACTTTTCCATCAAGTCTTTAATTTTTAGGAGTCGACAGCCAAAATATAAAAATTTCTCGTCTTGAAATTTCGGGAGTTATGTTGAAAATAGAAAATAAATGCATGGGAGCCGCAGACAGCCGCTGAATTTTTTTGTGGATTCTATTAGAGTATAGATCAGTTGAGAGAATGAGTATAGTACGTGCTCTGTCTTCGCGATATAAAAAAGATTTCATCTACCAAAAAAAAAACATAGAATTTGGTACTCACCAAAAAAGTTAAAACTTTATCAGCTCCAAAACAAATATGTGTGTCCACTTCAGTGAGTTTTTTTATATTTCCCAAATTTTCTTACTTAAAACAATGAGTGAGAAAAAATTAAGTTAAAACAAAGTTTTTTAACAAGTTATTGAGCCTTGAAAATGTTCAAATTACTTTTGCACGCACAATTAAATTTTTAAATTTTTGCTTTTGTTTATATGTAGCCAAATTTTTTTAAACAATGTTGTGTTTACTCTTAAGTAGACAATATTCTTGCATATTTGATAAAACATTTATTGAAATTTCATAAACAAAAAATTTCATTAAAAACTATAGCTTTGCACATTGGACCACTGTGCAACGACGGCTCAATTTTCATTATCACACCAAACATAGGCTTAAGTTATTTTACATGTTTTTTTTTTTAAATAGATTCATTTAACATTAGTTATTATTTCCGCGCCACGCGCTCTTACATAGAATCGTATCGCCGCTGGCTAGTTCATAATTTAATTTACCGAAATTATCTTTGACTTAAAGCTTGTCTTATTCTAACGAAACTATAAAAAGAGCAGTAGTAAACAGCTTGCCTGCAGGTTCCAACGACAAATCGCTGCGAGCAGCCCACTCCGGGAGTCAACCGGAAAAATAAAAAAAAAATATAAAAACTTTACTTTGAAAGAAATGAGATTTATTCTTTAATTTGCATCTTTTTTGAACGTAAATTAAATAGAAAATCCTCTGCACGAAAGCGCATATAGGGATATAGTACGACAACTATAATCAGAACAACAACAACAACAACAACACCTACACCATGGAGAGGTATGCTCAATTGCAAGTGTAAATGAAAAGTGTTTTAGTGACTCAGAGAAAACTTCTACACATAGTCTGGTTTTTAACCGACTTCCAAAAAAGGAGGAGGTTATCAGTTCGTCGGAATATTTTTTTTTTTATATATGTATGTTACCGCATAACTTTGGACCGCGTCAACCGAGTTCGATAATTCTACATCGGAAAGGTAGTGTCTCAGGGATGGTCCCATACTAATCTGGTTTAGATCTGATCGTTGGATCATGATATACATATATTTACATATATATATACATATATTTTTTTTTATTAAGTCGGTTTTTTGCTAAAAATTACTTGTTATTTAAAGGGCGCGCAGCTTATGAAGTGAAATTGAAATGAGTGAATTTGATGGCTACTAAATAAGTCCAACAACTGATAGCCATGCTGCCCCTTGCGCGCTTATTGTCGTAGTTGAGTTTATATGTCGCCTGTGCCTTCTGGATTTGTGCTCCGACTGCTCTACGGATCTTATTGCANATTAAGTCGGTTTTTTGCTAAAAATTACTTGTTATTTAAAGGGCGCGCAGCTTATAAAGTGAAATTGAAATGAGTGAATTTGATGGCTACTAAATAAGTCCGACAACTGATAGCCATGCTGCCCCTTGCGCGCTTATTGTCGTAGTTGAGTTTATATGTCGCCTGTGCCTTCTGGATTTGTGCTCCGACGGCTCCACGGATTTTATTGCGNAGTGACTCAGAGAAAACTTCTACACATAGTCTGGTTTTTAACTGACTTCCAAAAAAGGAGGAGGTCATCAGTTCGTCGGAATATTTTTTTTTTTATGTATGTATGTTACCGCATAACTTTGGACCGCGTCAACCGACNTTTTTTTTTTTATATATGTATGTTACCGCATAACTTTGGACCGCGTCAACCGACTTCGATAATTCTACATCGGAAAGGTAGTGTCTCAGGGATGGTCCCATACTAATCTGGTTTAGATCTGATCGTTGGATCATGATATACATATATTTACATATATATATACATATATTTTTTTTTATTAAGTCGGTTTTTTGCTAAAAATTACTTGTTATTTAAAGGGCGCGCAGCTTATGAAGTGAAATTGAAATGAGTGAATTTGATGGCTACTAAATAAGTCCAACAACTGATAGCCATGCTGCCCCTTGCGCGCTTATTGTCGTAGTTGAGTTTATATGTCGCCTGTGCCTTCTGGATTTGTGCTCCGACTGCTCTACGGATCTTATTGCATCCTTTAATGTAGAAGAGAGAGAGAGAAGAGGAGTTCTCTTGAAGAATCTTCAGAAGTTCGGTATCTGTTTCGTTTCTCATCTTTACTCCAAACATAACTTCGAATGACGTAAATTTTGTAGATACCTTTATACCTTCTAGACGTGGCATCTAGCAGACCCAAATGCATCAACCCACTGGACAACCTCGCGTGGTATATANCTTTACTCCAAACATAACTTCGAATGACGTAAATTTTGTAGATACCTTTATACCTTCTAGACGTGGCATCTAGCAGACCCAAATGATCGATGTGTAGCGTAGCAAATGGGCTGTCCCCTTGATGCTAGGCAAAATACCTTCCTGCTTACCCAGCTTTCGGTTCCGCGTAATACACTCGATGCAATTCGCGATTATTTTAATAATTTTATTTTCAAGGTGTGTTATGTAATAGTCCTGCCTACTTGCGTGCATCGTCTTCTGAGCGCCCATATATCCAAAGTTGAGTGCGTTTCCAATGACTTATTTTTCCCTGCTTTTAGGGACGGATAGTAGGTCTTGTTCATTGACTTGCTTATAAATCAGCTCGTTTTTCGTTTTGTACTCGGCATACTGCTTATGTTTTAAGATTTCTGCAACTGCTGCCAATTGGTCGTATTTTTATTGTGCTCCTCGGACTTGTGCGTGCACCTCCGATGTCAGCGTCATAACAGGCAATCGACTTAAGCTATCGACATGTTTCATTCTGCTAGCTCCACGATGCATCAGCCACTGGACAACCTCGCGTGGTATATCTTTTTTCGTGTTTGTCTGCAGTCAGTTACAAGAATAAATTCTATACCCATGAGATAGTGAGGCATCTTTTTCGTAGCCAAATACGCTGCTTTCACCTCTAAAAAATAGCTATGCATTTTTTCTTCTAACGACGATGTTTTCCTGCTCCAGTAAAAAATAGAGTGCCACTTGGTGTCGAGCGTAACTCCAAGTCCTTTTTTGGATGCATCAACGTGAAGCTGGTTCGGCTACAAGAGCCGTCTTTAAATTCTCTAACGCTTGAATTTGTGCGCAAAAACCGGCGAACTACAAAAGCCAAATGGTGCTTTATTGAATTCGTACAGCCCTTCCTTTGTGAGACGAAGGCAGTGTACATATTTAGGACTTTTTGAGGTTCATCACGCAAAAGTATTTGGCGCTTTGCCTTTTTTCAAGAACTTCTTCTAACCTATCTTTTAGAACAAACGAGTTTAACTTGCGAAAATCTACGCACTGCCTATAGCAGCCATCCTTCTTTTTTGCCAACACGACTTTGCTAGCAAACTCAGAAAATGACTCTCTTATTATGTCCTGCTCCAGCAATTGGTTGACCTGCTTTCGTACTACTTCGTTTTCTGGTGCTGATAAGCGACTTGGACTGTCACGGAAATGGCGATGTTACTGCAAGTTGGTACAATATTCAGCTTAATAGGACAGCTCGACTGGACACTCGATGGTTTATAGTTGTCAAACAACGGATTAACTGCTTCCCAGTACTTCGATTCTACATCAATTTCAGAATTTTGTTCGACTACGTTGTAAACTGAGATCGACTTTCTCGCCCGCTTCTTTAGAAAGTCGTAGCCTACAATTACGTCGACATTTATTTTACCATCGGGAACTAGAAGGAACGTGTGTTGTGTATACTGACCGTCGACGTTAACTTCCACAGGGAGACATCAGATCCAGTGTCTACTAAGCAGGACAGTGTCTCGTTGTTGATTTTCATCTGCTTAATTCGCTTGGCTGTCTCTGCAGACACGTAAACTCTCTCCCCTCCACCTATTTCCCCCCACGTAGTCCATGGCCTTGAGGATTGCAAATACCTCAGCCTGGAAGACCGAGGCATACTAACCAAGAGAAAAGTGAAGCTTATCCCCATTCACTTCGATGAAGACCACAGAGCCTGAGCCAGAGTCAGTTTTGGAGCCATCAGTGAAGATTCGAGTGAGTGTAAGTCCAGGCTCAGTGCTCGTATTAAACCAACATTAAGCCTCAGGGAACTCAACATTATAGAATCTCTTCAACAAAGGTAATGGTGGCGTACTATCCTGTGGCACTGAAAACACAAGAGTGCTCAGATCCCTGCCGCCAGCAATTTCCACCTCACCCCACTCAGTGTTATACCAACATCCATGTCCACCCTGAGAGCAGCCCTTTTTAATTCCGTACATGAAATATTGACCTCCTTCTGCCTGAATTCTGATGAGCCGCTGTGCCAGAATTGAATGAATCCAATTTACCAGCAGAATGCTATCGAGGGTGGCATTGTCAAAAGCACCCTCAATGTCTACAAAAATGCTCAAGGTGAATTTCTTCCTATTGAGGGTATTGCTAATTCTGGCAACCAGATTTTGCAAAGCCGTCGCACAGGATTTGTCCACCTGATTGGCATGTTGATGCAAAGACACAGGATGTGATGAGAGCGCCTCCCTGCGAATACGCAACCCTACCAATCTTTCCAGACATTTTAACATAAAGAATATCATGCTAATAGGCCTGTAGCTTCTGGGGATAGTATAGTCATCATTACCAACCTTAGGTATAAAGGCGACATCAACCAGCCTCCAAGGTTGTAAGCAAGTGCAAGAGACGCTGTGAAAATCTGTTTCAAGGTCGTCAACACAAGCCCAAAACCTTCTTTAAGTACAATAGGACCGGGCGATTTGAAGCGGTCAAAAGACTCAATAGCACATCTTATGGCAGGGGTTCTTAAACTTTTAATAGGATGGAACCCTTACTAAACACCTTTAATTTTATGGAGCCCCACATCAAATTATTAAAAATTCAATTCAAATATGAATAAAAACTTTTACTAGAAGTAGTATACGTATGTACTTTAAATTTTAATGTGAAGAATGAAATTTTTTCACTGTTATTAATTAATGTATAAAATAGTAGTTCGATATAATGTCTGAAAGCTGTATGCGCACTTCTGGGGTAGCATCCAATCTCGATCTGAATTTTTTTTTGTATAAGTGTAAGCTGAGAACTCTATGGACAGAGTACGTTGTGGCAGAAGGCAGCAAAGGTAAGATGGTTTTTTTTAGCGACTTTATGATATTTACTCTTAACACTAACCCAAAACTCTTTCAGAGACATAGTGTTTCAATGTCGAAGTACTCTGAAGATCTATGAATGCTTTGTAAATGAATTTTGTACCCAACCAGTATTACTACTATCATTCGAAAAATAATCTGACAAAGATTTCAGAAGATTTACCAAGTGCCCAGTTATGACATTTCACATTTCATTTGGCAATTCATCGCGTTCCTTGTAGAAAGTTGTATATAACACTTTGGCTACAGCGGACAGCAGCACATACCGGTTAGAAAAAAAAAACAAGATGTCAAGCGCAAGCTCAAAGCTCTTATGTAGGTATGGCACTCAGTACGGCAATCATACCAACTACGATTACATACTAGGTTCTTTCCCTAACAATCTGGACCGAATCCGGTAATTAGGGAATAAGCGAAAAGTTTGCTCTCAAAAGTGGAACAAAGTCCAGAAGTAGGGAACGCAAAAACCACATTTCGTGACCAGAATTTGAGAAACAACGGATTCATGTTTGTGTCACTTAAATGCACTTAGAAATGTAATTTCGGTTTCACAAATTTGATTTTAAGCATATAGAGATTTTACATTCACTATTCCTTAAAAGCACCAAGTAAATGGAGGCAACATGTAAACAAAAAACAGCTGATATGCATTTTGGCACTTTATCCATTTTTACCCGGAGTAAAAGTTCGGGCTGTTTCGGGTAGGAAGAAGAAGACACTTACGATCCCATACGTTCCAACTTTCGCTCTCTATTACCCATTTCGTTGAGTACGGTAATGATTTCTGAGCTGTTTTGGGCACCCACTTTTGAGAAAAATCGGTAATGACTCGGATTTAAAAAAATGTAACGAAATCCCGTTGATAGAAAACAAAGAATAGGATGGTATATAGTATTAAGAAATTTTTTTAATTTTTGGGGATAGTTGAACAATTTGAAAATCGATATTCATTGTTTTTTCAATTTTAAGTTGCATATTCTATTTATTATTAATTTACATAGATTGCTTGGTAAGGTAAAAATATCAACATCCTGGCTAAAAACTACCCCTAGAAACCTGGAGATTTTTTCGAAATAGCCCGAAATAGTTTCCAATTATAAACATTTTGAGTTCTAAGACGATTAAAGATTTATATCAAGAAATTTTAACTATATGTTCAACAATTTTATTGAGCTTAAGGCCGTTTTTAATGAAAAACTATTGTGGAAAAGACAACAATAATTTACAAAAATGGTAGAAGTGATAGCTATTTCGAAGATCACCACATCTCCTTATCAGATTCTTCAGTGGGATTCCATCCAATAACCCCAGCTGGCCTTATAAACTGTTGTTGCTTTTTTCCACTTGTTTCATGTGAGCCAACTACATACAATCAAGCGCAGCTAGGGATGAAACGATACCATGCAGGTATCGATACTTTTACTTGGAAGTAGTATCGAAGAAAAGTATCGATGCCTGAAAAATATCGGACCTAAAGTATCGATACCTACTCGTATCGGTGCTCATTGCGTATTCAGTATTAAGTTAAATTTTTTTTTTTTTTTATCACAAGTTAATCATCCTCTGGGAATCCTAAACTCCGAATAATTAATTTTAATAATGTAGGAACTGAAAATAAATAAAACTCCGTTATATAGCAGAACTATATGTTTAATGATGAATGGTATTTACACAGATACATGCAATTGGAAAGGATTACAAGTTAATCTTATTTAAGAAAATATTTATTAATAAAATATTCAGCTAAAAAAGAATAGAAGTTTTTTAAATCTTTACCAGTCAACCGATTTCTTGACGTGGTTATTGTTGCTCCTGCTTTCGAAAACAATAGATCGCAAGGAAAAGATATTGCATCTATATGTAGTTGTACATAAGTTGTTGCAAGGTTTATATGTTCCAACTGTTTAGCCAATATGATAATGTTGGACGCCAACCAAGCCTTTTTTTGAAATTTCAGAAATGACAGCCAGATAACTGTCAAGAGAATAATAATGATTTAGACTATCAGTGCTATTCTGGCTAAGATAGTTGCAAGCCTTTTGTAAGACATTCGAAAAACCTGGCCTATTGTTTTTGAAAGGTTTTGTTTATCCTGGCACGAAAGTTTTACAAACAGCTCCCTTGTCAACTTTAATTGTGAAAAGCTTCTTTGACTGAAAGCACTTGCTTATCATTTTGCTCGCGGCGCTCCACCAGTCGCAATGTCCGAGAGATCCGATGTTCGAATCCTCCAGAAGCGGATCTCTTTTTTCTTTTTTTTTTTTAATTAAATGCTTTTCCTTTTTTAATATAATTTTCTTTTCATTTTTAGGTTTTATTGTTTAAAAACAGAAAAACAGATTTCGTGACTTTACCAAGTGTTCTTTTATATTTTGCGATTGTATTTTTATGAAAAGCTGTTTTTCATGGCAGACTACACTCGAGGGTATTCCATTGCCTGCCGAGGGGCGACCGCTACTCGAAAATCTTTATTTTTATTTTTTGAGTTTGGTCTTGAACGCAGGCCCTGCGGAATGGTAGCGCGCGCTGCTGATCACTACACTATAGTGGCCGCCAGAAAAGAGCCTTCAAGATAGTTACCAGAATTATCAATTCTCTTATGAAATGCGCCAGTCATAAAGTTAAGCTTCCTATAGATTCTATGACAGCGCGCACATGATCAAAGCTCGCTCTGGTCATCGCGAATTTACGGCAGCTACGAAAAAACAAATATCGTGGGAGAAGTTTTTAAAGTTCTCATTTTTGTTGTTGGTATTTCCGACAGGGTAGGAGTGTGATGTAATGTGGAACGATTTTCCGTCATCCCTTGTCAAATTTGGTTTGGAGACAAACCGGTTTCGGCGTTGTGCCATCTTCAGTGTCAGTTTTTAAAGCTTTCTATAGATTTAGTATGAACGCGTTCAGAGTAAGAGCTCTCTGATCGTCACTAACTTACACTCTTGCTTGTAACAGAGTTATTTATATTATATTTTTTTAACCATACTCTTAAATCTTTAGTTTTAATGGAATCAGCAATTTACAAGCCTTCGGGCCACATTTTGCCGCCCTGTCTAATGGATCAGTCACAGACAAGGTAAGATATTAATGTCAAGAAGTTTTGAAAAGAAACAACTTTTTAGGAGTATTCCCTTAAATTGGCGGAAATCTGGAAAACCTCAGGAATTCCGAAGCTTCAAGAGGCTTGAGCTATGAAAGATCAAAATTTTAATGATCAGTATTTACGAGGCTTGAGTTTTTCAGTATTTCGAGTTAAGAAGAACTCCCACATTATAACTAAAATTTGTTTATTACCTGCATAAATATACATATGCTATCTCTCTCTCTCACACACTCTCCCTATCCCATCATACAGGTGNTTTGGGGCCGGCCATGTGCGATCTTTATGGCGCCTTGGGTTCGGCTTTTGGCTGCAGCTCCATCTGGTCGATGTGCATGATCTCGCTAGATCGTTATCAAGTCATTGTCAAGGGCGTAGCTGGTCGACCAATGACCATTAAATTGGCGCTAATGAAAATTGCTTTCATCTGGGCTATGGGCAGCATCTGGACATTGGCGCCGGTGTTCGGCTGGAGTCGGTGAGTGCGATAAACGAGTTAGGAAATAATTTAAATTGTATTTTTTCGCTTATTTCAACTTTTCGCTTTAGGTACGTGCCTGAGGGTAATCTGACTTCATGCGGCATTGATTATTTGGAGCGCGATTGGAATCCACGTTCATATCTGATCTTCTACACCATCTTTGTCTACTTTCTGCCGCTGTTCTTGATTTGCTATTCCTACTGGTTCATCATTGCTGTAAGTATTTAAATAGTGGTGTTTCAACGCTGATTTGTAAATCTTTTAATGCACTCATCAACTAACTAGGCTGTGTCAGCTCACGAGAAAGCCATGCGCGAACAGGCCAAGAAAATGAATGTCAAATCCCTGCGCTCTTCTGAGGATGCCGAAAAGAGTGCCGAGGGCAAATTGGCCAAGGTGGCGCTGGTCACCATCTCGCTGTGGTTCATGGCATGGACACCATATTCGGTGATCAACGGCATGGGCCTATTCGAATTCGAGGGCTTGACTCCACTGAATACCATCTGGGGTGCTTGCTTTGCCAAATCGGCTGCCTGCTATAATCCCATTGTCTACGGTATCAGGTGAATACTAGAATATGATAGAGGAGTAATCCTTTCGGACGAGAAATATATACTTTTGTATACACAAATAACCCCCTCTCTCCCTCTCTTTCTTCACTCACAATTAGCCATCCTAAATACCGTTTGGCGCTGAAAGAGAAATGCCCATGCTGTGTGTTCGGCAAGGTTGACGATGGCAAGTCCAGCGATGCCCAATCGCAAGCCACCACCAACGAATCCGAGTCCAAGGCATAAGTGGTTGGAGTTTGTGTGCCCGCACTCAGCGATGCTAATGACAGCAACAAATACAATAACAACAACAGCAACAAGATTAAAAATAAAAGCAATAATAACAACAGCGAAAGCGAAAAAATATTGTATATGGGTATAATTATTTATATACATACATATATAAACAATGAAGTGCAATGTCATCAAAGACTTAAAAAAAAATCGAACAAAAAAATAAAACAGCAAACGAACTTTTAAAAAGTTGATATAAAAACGTTGTATTAAATATTTCCCAAATCGTACAGGAAAAACCTACTAATAGGCCTGATCCCGTACCTAGTTGAAACTTAAAATTTGTTACCATATTTGTTACCGTGAAATCGATCCCGTATTTGCTGTGAGCACATTTTTGTTATTTGACAGTTTTACTAGATTTAGTCCGAGAATTGCGGGATAAAGCCTTATATTATAAATGTTAAAGTTTGTGAGTGAGTAAGTGATTAGCTTTCACAATGCACTCAAGAAGCCTCGCAATCGTCAATAATTGCCAACATCATTTTTATTGCCATCTTTGAAAATTTACGTTATTTTTGGCTTTTTCCATACATACGCCATAAATACACCAGAAGAAAGTGACCGACTGAAAATCCGGCGTACTGGTTCAACAAGAGATCCACACTCTTTAAATAAAATAACTGAAAACCCGTCAACATCAGTGTGTGTAGGCCGTTTTAAAGACAAGATACCTTCTGAAGGGAAGCACTAAAGGACAACCACTCACCGTACGAGGCAGCCGGTCAGTCAGAACGATACAGGGAGTAGAAGCTTGCAGCCAGTGAGTTGCCAGTCGGTCAGCAAGGCAGACAAGTCAATCAAAGTAACAAGTCGGTTATGTATTTACATACATACAGTGGCGAAAATATAAATAGGGAAGAGCCATTTGAGTCGTTGGCTATTTTCCTTTCATTATTTATTGTTTATAATTTTTTTTTGTGAAAGTGTAGCTTGTTATCTAACAAAAACCATATAAGTCTAAATTTCAAACTTTGTACAAAAAATGGGCGAAATTCGACATACATAAAAATATTGATGTTTTTAATTGGATATCTTAGAAACACCCTTAATATGAAGTTTTGTAGGCCATTCAATTTTAGTATAACAAATTGCAGATGTTAAGTAGCTGGGACTTGCCGTTGATTTTTGGCAATTTTGTTGTCTGTTTGTATGGAAAAATCATGTATGTTGGATCAAAATCAAATCAAAAATCAACTTTAAACTTGCAATTTACTAAAATTTAATGGGTTACAAAACTGCATACTCAAAAAAATTCTAAAAAATTATATTATTGAAAAGTTTCAAATTTTGATGGAAATTTGCTACATAATAAAGTTTTCGATTTCTTCATATATTTTTTATTTTGTCGAACTTTTATTGTGTTCCTTGTTTTGTATTATTTGAGAAGAAAGACTTCTTATTTGTACATATTTATTTTTGGTAATGAAGCAAAGAAGAGCGATAAGGATAATTAGTCACATTAACATAAGTTCAATTCAATCTCCTTTTCGATTTCAGTTATTATTCTTATAAACAAACATATAAATTTCCAGAATTTTTTTTTTTTGAAAAATTTGATTATATCGAATTTGTCCCACCGAACTTCGAATCGGGTTGGGCGTTTTTCGAAGTTCGGAAAAATCGAATTTTAACCTCCCACTATCTCCCCCTATTGCTCCCTAAGCTTAGTGCTTAGCTCACCTCGCATACATACCCGTACATTTAACCTTTGTTTAGCCGCTCTTATTTACTTTCCAAATTTTGAGAGTTTTTCAAAACTCCAAAATTTTTTTAAGGCTTTTGGGATTTCTTCGAGATTATTAAGGAATTCTTAAGAAACTCTTTATAGTATCGCGAGACTATTTTGCAGCTTTAAATTTATTCAATCTTTGCACAGATTTTTAAATTTTTTATATCTTAATGGAATTTTTCGTTTTTTTTTTGTTTGGAGAAGACAAATTCCATATCGCCATTGCATAGAGTTAAGCAATATACCAAATATATCCTCTGTCTTTTTTTAAGAAGTATATTGAACACATTTTCTTTCATAACTGCCCAGTAAAGAGATTATTTACTTTTATTGTGTCACTCATACGCCCTGCTGTACCGCCGAAGATTATTGATCGCTGTCAAGTGTGACTTAGAAGGCGAATATGCTTTGTTTCATTCTTAAATACTCGCAAATGCAAGTACATATACTTACAAATAAATATGTATGCATATATGTAGTAGATAAAAGCCAACGATGATAATGAAATATTTAATAATACATGATTTTCGAAGTGTTGGCAAAACATTGAAACACTTTTGCGAAGCCGTTGAAATGTTCTATTGACATTGGCATCGGCAGAAAAATTTACCGTTAAAAGATTCTACATAAACAAATAGCCCCGAAGAGGCGTCCAGGTGAGCCAAAGAACGTACATATATACTAAATATTTATATACGTACATACATACTATGTGGTTAATATCTTTCGATATATTTGCTTTGGTATATGCACATAAATATGTATAAAAGTACATACAGAGTAGGAGAAGATGAAACGTGAACATAAATAAATAAGCTTAGAGAAATTATTGGCTTTGAAATGAAGAAAGCGCCTTTACTTATTATCATTATTATGATCATTATTTATTTTTATATGTATCAGCCTTTAGCAGCAACGCCTCAATTGTCATTATCATCACCAAGCATGGCTTAAGTTATTTTACGTGGTTTTTAAATAAATATTTATTCAACATTAGTTATTCTTTCGCTCCCACGCACTCTTACATACATAATATTTACATGCGTTCGTGCCATGTGTCGCTGGCTAGTTTATAATTTAATTTAACGAAATTAAGTATATTTGGCTTAAAGCTTGTCTTAGTCTAACGAAACTATAAAAACGACAGTAGTAAACAGCTTGCCTGCAGGTTCTAACGAAAGATCGCCGCGAACAGTCCACTCCGGAAATCTACCGGGAAAATAAATACAAAAAAAAAAATATATAAAAACTTTACTTTGAAAGAAATGAGATTTATTCTTTAATTTGCATCTTTTTTGAACGTAAATTAAATAGAAAATCCTCTGGACGAAAGCACATATAGGGATATAGTACGACAACTATAATCAAAACAAAAACAACAACAACACCTACACAATGGAGAGGTATGCTCAATTACAAGTGTAAATGAAAAGTGTTTTGGTGACTCAGAGAAAACTTCTACTCGTAGAGTGGTTTTGATTTGATGGGACTTTCAAAGGACCTTGAAATTTTCAAAAATATGATTAATTAAAAAAATTATTTAAAAAACTCAGCGCAATAACAGAATAACAATGTGGGTATAATATAAAAAGAAAAAATTCTATACAATTAAAAAAGTTTAAATTTTTTGGTGCATAAGGACTAATATCCTTGAAAATTAGCAATAATTGAAATCATTTACACGCAGACCTTAATTTAAAGCCCTGTTATTTAGAAGTAATTAAAAAGTGGCGTGGGAGATTTTTGCACAGTATTCCTTATGCAAATATATATTACTTTCTTCATGTATATAACAATATCAGATTGAATTTCGTGTGCTCCAATAAAAATTATAAAAATGGAATTTTAGTTTCTCTAATAATAGTCACTTGTTTTATTAAACTAGATTCGTTCGTTTTAGCAAGGAGAAATTTTTCAATTTTAACATTTTGAACTATCTAAAATTATTAACCGACTTCAAAAATAGGAGGACATTATCAATTCGCCGGAATATTTTTTTTATTTTTTTTATGTATGTTACCGCATATAACTTTGGACCACGTTAACCGATTTCTATAACACTTTTTAAGGGAAAGGTGGTACCTCAGAGTTGGTTCCGTACTAATTTGGTTCAAATCGGAATATTTGATCATGAAGAAATTAACGATACTCTTAAATTTTTACATGAGAATTGAAGTCGGTTTTGTTGTTTGTTTGAAAATTACTTTCAGAATTAAAAAAAAAAACGTGTAATTTCAAAAATTACAAAATAGCTGCGACAGATATTTTGTATGCGGCCATATTTTTTTTTTTTATTTATTTGATGCCAACGTCCATTGCCTGTAATATGAACATTGTGTTTGAAAATTTCCCAAAGTTATCAAAAAAAAAAAATAACTATGATTTTTTTCGAAGGACGATGAAAAATTATTAATTTCGATACTTATTAAATATAAATTTCTGATTTTGCATTCGTTTTTATTTGCCGATACTTCGACTTCAGTCTGAAACTTCCACTTTATTTTACTAAAATAGAATGAGCTACAAAACTGCATACTTGAAAATTTTCTGAAAATTCTTAACAAAAAGTTTAAAATTTTTAAGGATTTTTTTTTGAAGTTTGATTAATTTTCGTTAACTTTGTACAAGCTTTAATACTTTTATTAGTGCGGTTTCCATTATAGATCGAACTATATTTTAAATTTAAAAATTTTTAAAATTATTAAAAGCGTATATTCGCAATATTTGATGGTAAATTATTTATACATAAGGAAGGGATGCCATACAAATTTAGGTTCTTTACCCCATCATGAAACGATAGACCGTGGAGGTATTACGATAAGTAGAGGTGGATTGCCAGCTGGAAAAGGTTGGGAACCACTGATTACGACTATCAGGGGAAATTCTGGCTAAGATAGTTGCAGGCCAGTCATAAAGGAAAGCTTCCTGTAGATTTTATAACCGCGCGCTCGCTCTAGTCATCGCTGATTTACGCCAGTCACGAACAAAACATACATATGTCGTGGGAGAAGTTTTTAAAGCTTGCTATAGATTTAGGTAGTATGAATGCGTTCAGAGTAAGAGCTCTCTCTGATCGTCACTTACCTGCACTTTTGCTTTTAACAGAGTTATTAATATTGCAATTTTTTCTTATTGAATCTTACTCTGAATTCTTTATTTTTAATAGATTGAGCAGTTTACAAGCTTTGGGGCCACATTTTGCCGCCCTGTCTAATGGATCAGTCACAGACAAGGTAAGATATTAATATCAACAAGTTATGAAAAGAAAAAACTATATGGGAGTATTCCCTTAAATTAGAGGAAATCTGGAAAACCTCAGGAATTCCGAAGCGAAAGATCAAAATTTTAATGATTATTATTCACGAGTTAAGAGGAATTCCCACATTATAACTAAAATTTGTTTATTACCTGCCTAAATATACATATACTATCTCTCTCTCTCTCTCTCTCTCTCTCTCTCACACACACACACTCTCACTATCCCATCCTACAGGTGACGCCCGATATGGCACACTTAGTGCACCCCTACTGGAATCAATTCCCAGCTATGGATCCCATGTGGGCGAAAATCCTAACGGCGTACATGATCATAATCGGCATGATTTCATGGTGTGGAAATGGCGTGGTGATTTACATCTTTGCGACGACGAAATCATTGCGCACACCTGCTAACCTGCTGGTCATCAATTTAGCGCTATCCGATTTCGGTATTATGATTACAAATACGCCAATGATGGGTATCAATTTGTACTTCGAGACCTGGGTCTTGGGACCGGCCATGTGCGATCTGTATGGCGGCTTGNGTGGTGATTTACATCTTTGCGACGACGAAATCATTGCGCACACCTGCTAACCTGCTGGTCATCAATTTAGCGCTATCCGATTTCGGTATTATGATTACAAATACGCCAATGATGGGTATCAATT